TTAAGAATCAATACATTGCACATTTTGTCACATGTCTTAAGAATCAGTACATGCCAATTTTAAGTTTTGCATATTTTGCAAGGTTTTGGAAAAGCATCACCAACAGAGCAATCTGAAGGTGAGGGAACCGTTGGATAATTCAGGTGTGTGTTGAAGGGACAAACACAATCTGTTTCCTCCACAAATAGAGATAAATTCAGTTCTGCCTCCTTCCACTCCATCAGCCATGCCTGACCAGTTCTACCCAGTGTCTCTCTCTCTGAACAGTCATAACCATTAATCCCAGACACCCTATTTATACTGCCTAATTGTGATGAGTATGAATGATCAATTATAGTGAGTACCTAATTGCCCTTCATAAAGTCAGCCTCCCCCTGGCTTTAAAGAGGGCTGTTTAAATAATGTTACTAATAGCTCTCTTCTTTACATGGAGAATATATCTTCATTTTTGAGCTCGCAGAGCGTGAGATTTTTTAAAGGGGCAATTGAGAAAAGGCATGCAGGTGGTTCCAGGGGGACTCGTTAAGATTTAATGAATTATGATGCGATCTTCTGCGAACAATGAGCAATCAATGCAAGTGCTGAGTGACAGAACATCACATCGACTGCGGCCCATAACCTCAAGACCATGTGTAATTCTTTCTTTTACACTCTATATTAGCAGTGCACTAACCCGAGTGTCCATTCACAGCAGACAGTGATTATGCTGCAGTCTTAAAGGCATCCTATCTCTCTGTCTAGCATCTGGGGTTGCACTTGATCTCAGCCAATGAAGTCTGGCACCTCTGCATACATTTAGTATGTGCTTCACTAAACACCTGACACAAAACATAGATGTGTGTGCATTTCCATTGTGACAGACGCCAATAGAAATTTACACTGCTCGCGGAGTCCTGTCATTTCTACTGACGGTGAAAGACCACGGCAGAAATGGTGAAAGGCAGAAGAAAATTCAGGTTCTCAAATGAGATTTCCCTTCACCCATGTCACATAGTTAGGGAATTAGATTTTAAGGAAGATAATTTTGTTTGATGACTAACTCATTTTATGTCATTTTCCATTAGTCTCAATTCAATTGTGTGGCAATGAATTCTATTCTATTCTATTGAGGGCCAGTGATAAATCTTTTTCCATTCCATTCCATGTGTTTTTATTGTCCATTTAAAGATTTTTTTCTCTGTTTGTTTCTTTCACAAGTTGAGACTGATTCTGTGTAGCTTCTGTTAAGTGTAAAATTATTTTATTTGTTTTGATTTAAGGAATTTTATTTATGAGAAATTGTAGCCATAATGCAATTTTCCACCAGCCCCATCTTGGAAATCATTCTATTCTGTTCTGTTCTATTCTATTCTATTCTATTCTATTCTATTCTATTCTATTCTATTCTTTTTTAGGGTCAGTGTCAATTATTTTTTCATTAATCACTTTTGTGTATTTATAGACTAATGAAAGATATTATTTGTGTTTGTTTCTTTCACAAATAGAGACTGATTCCATTTGGCTTCTATTAAGTTTAAAGGTATTTTATTTGTTTTTATTTATTTAAGGAATTTTATTTAGGAAAAAAATGTACCAGCCCCAGTTTGGAAATGAATGCTATTCTGTTATATTCTATTCTATTCAGGAACTATGTGAAGCTTTACTTCAGCGAATATATTATGGGTGGATTCTCTGAAGTTGTTTCTTCTGTCATTTACATGCTTTGGCTGTAGTGATAGCTGTCATTTAATCATGTATAAAATCTGTAGAGTGAACTGACCTTTACCTCAGGGAAAGAGTGTGTGTTTGTGAAAAGGAGGCCAATGTCCATGAATGTGTGACAGTGTCCCCTGGTGTAATTGCCCTCTTTTGCTTTGATCCAGGCCCTGAACAAATCACCCAGCCACTTTCCACATCTGCTGCATGTCAGCATCTGCCAGACGCGCTCACCCGTCCCGGACGCTGCCAGCAAGCCTTCATTACGCCTGCTGCTGAACAGGTAGAACCGTTACTAAACAATGCTGCCGACCTTGTGTTCGCCTAAACGTCCTAAAACATCACTCTCATATAATGCCCAAAAGTTTTGGTGTAATGCTTTCTGTATAGTGTGTTTTTTGGTGCTTACACTGTATGAGTACAGCAATTTACCCTTCGCAAAGACCCACCTCCCTTAATAAACATGAATGAAAATAAACATGAATGAACATCAGAAGGTATCTTATTTCCACAGTGGAAAGACATCAATACACAACATTTTTCAAGTTAAAGTCCACCGACGTAAATCTACTTTCCTGTCTGTTTTTTTTGTCTGACAAAATGGCAGATTTAGAGTTATGATTGATCAGATCACCTGTCAGCCAAACTCCCGGCGAAGGGTCAATTGGTTTCCAGTTATTTTTTGTTTATGTATTTTATAGGATTCAGAGGCTTTTCTTAGTTGTGACCACTGTTGACAAGTATTGTGCAATTTATTTTTAGATAAATCTTAACAATTGTGTAAATTGAATATTTGAAATGATAAATGATATTTGTATTTTCTGAAGGAAATAGGCAGCAACAGGAAGGCAGCAAAAGAATAGTGTCCAAGTTTTAGGAAGTTCAAGTTTTAGGCTTGGGTTCTATGCAAATTAAATGACTACACACAACAATCATACTTGACTAATTACAGTGTAAAGGCAGCTGTAAATAGTTAAGTAAATGCAATGATGATAAGACTAATCCTAATTCTGTATGTAAATAGGTGTACAAAAGTAGATCAATCACAAATCTGTATATGCAAATATTATGATGATGCCATCACTGTCAGTACGTTTTTTTTAATGCTGAATAACTTTAATCTTAAACTGATTAAGATTAATAAAGTTTACAAAACTGAAATAGCACATTTAAGGCTTAAATCTATCTTATCTACAAAACAAAACAGAAAGTTTGAGGAATATCAAAGCAATGCTGTTTCACTGTAACAAGCATTGCTTTTTAGAGACAGATAAGTTAAACTCTTTACACCCCTCATAAGATTTTTTAAGTGTCCTTTCTCCATTTCAAGAGAGGAATTTTTTGACTTTTAGTGCTCTGAAGTTGTAATCTTCAAAAGAGTGACATTTCAGCAGTTTCCCATTCTATTGCCCATCTGCACTCTGGATAGGAATCAAGGGACAAAGCCAAACAAAGAGTAAACGCCCATCCGTAAACAAAGCTCCACCTCAAGACGAGACTACATGAATGATCCGATATTTAGCAGATCTTCCTGGTGCTCTGGGTTTATGGGTCAGGAGGTGGGGATGCTGGAACAGTCGGGACGTTTGTCCGTAAGTGTGCCCCTCTCCCCAGGCATTGCACACAAACTTTTCCTCTTGGCTGCAGCAGCTGCTGTCCTCAGATTCTCCACCTTACCTTTTGTATGTTCTTTATCTCCAGTACCTGAGACTACGTTGTGCCCCCGGGCCACACTTTTGTGCTCTGGTCTTGTGTAAACAGATGTGCATAGTGTCAGGCCTGCAGAGAGGAAGTCGTAAACTTGCAGGAAAGACTTCAGCCCCCATTCTTATGGAGCTCACTCAGTGCAGGCTGCTGGGCTTAGATATGCTAATGCAAGCAAACAGTCCCTGTTCAGACAGTGAGCGTCTGAAGTTTGACCATGTCGCAACCACAGAATATACACTGCAGGCTGAAGTAGAAATACAATTGAATGGTGGTGCAGGGGAGGTTAAGTCACTCTGTTTCATAAAGGAGAGGAGAGGAATCAGCATCTGTGATCTGAGAAGTGGACAAAGGTTTGATGGTGTATGTGTGTGTGTGTGTGTGTGTGTGTGTGTGGTATTCTGACAATGCAATTGTCTGTTTGATTTACAGTAAGTATTTGCTCACTTAAAGCCACTTAAACATATTTGAATTTCGTTGCAGTGGAAAAATAACTAAGTGGAGATTTTCAGAAATATGCTTTTCTCAAAACTAACATTTCTACTCTTTTTTTTTTTTTTTGCAATTATTTTTTTTAGTAGATGTATGAAGTTAGTTGACTTCAGGTTCACACAGGTGCAGTTAATCTAAGGCATTTTAAAAATATCTTCATGTTAATTATCCATTTAAGTGTGGTCCCAATATTGTATGCTATAGGCTTTCCCGTCTTGGGAAATGAGTCAGTAGCTTATTATATATGTTATTTTATTTATTTTTTTATTTCATGTATGTATTTTGGGGAATAGACTAATAGAAGTAAATCACTAGCTAGATATTGAAACAGTAGCGCTTTGAAGGAGAGCTCCTCATTTATCAGTGCCGGACACACGTTTATTGATTCATCCAAAGCTTTGGCAGATTGATGCCACGTAGTGAATGTGAAGATACTGGCTTAAGCTATTGACTATGAAATAAGCCAACACACTGTACAGTACTGATGCCACATCAGTTATTTGCCAGAAAAAAAAAAGTCTTTGATGGCAAAATTGGCAGTTTATTCGAGGGGTGCAATGATAATATTTCTCATTTGTTACTGGAAGGGTTGATTTTATTGTCAGGAATAATAAGGATAGAGGTAGCCTATTTTTAATTACTATTATTTACTATCATTTGACAGAAATCAATGCAAATCTCTGATAAGAACACTTAAGTATTATATAGCTCACTCAAGAACCCTTTACAGTGTAAAAAAATGTTCTTGCAAGGGTGCTTTGCTAAACATACTGTGCAAACGAACACTGAAGAGTGTAGGCTAATTATTAGATGCAACAGTTTCTTGAGTTATGCCACTTGTCAGTCTGGGAACTTGTCCTTATTGTATTGATTGAAATGAGCGCAGGTTTAAGTACCGAATGCTCTCAGCCAATCGAAAGGGATCCCGTTAAATGCTCGTGTTCACGCGTCTCCTCTAATGGACCTGTTAAAGAGCTCAAGCACACCTTCATCCACTGACATCTGACCGCAGCGCCTCAGATCCGACCAGAAGCTGCATTCACTTTCTGTGTCTGCTTTGTAAGAGAATACAGACATAAAACAGCAGAAATACTACTGGAAATTGGAAAATGCTTGAATATCAGGAGTCCGGAGTGAAAGCACCATCAGGTCTTCGGATTTCCTTTTCGATTACTGACATACTGGATCCTAAAAAATTCACAAGTAAAAAAACACATGCCGTGTCGGAGAAAGAACGGACGTCATCTTCAGGTAACACAGAATTTGGAAGTTTGGAGGAACAGCGCAACGGGAAAGAAAGCACTGCGCACGAAGAATCGCTTTCCATCTGCAAAAATATAGGTGAGGAAATATGATTAATAATAATAACCAAAACAGTGTAATAATTAGACCCTATTTTATGACTTTCAAGAGGGGTCAACTTTTAAAATAGTTTCTCTATTTTTTGACGACATTCAGTTACTTTGTCTCGCATTTCAAACAAAACACTAATATATTTCTGATGTGTAACTATGATGATGTGACAAATAATGCTGCATGTTTTGTCGACACCCTGTCTGATACAGGCAGCGATCTAGCAGCTGTTACTATGGTTACATACCTCCTGACGATCGCGACTTCTGTTCGCGACTTGTAATCCAACTTTTGAGGTTACTGAAACATTGTTCTAAAACGATATTGAAAATTAGCATAGCTATATATACTTGTATGTTCAAATAATGCATATTTTTGAGACCTCCGCAACCTTTGTCTTTTGGGGATACGCCTTTTAGAGGAGCCATATCCTCTACAATTCTGAGAAGAAAAAAAACGAAGTAAACTCTTGTTATACACTGTAACTAATGTTTGTAATTTGAACAGTATTTTACTGTAATATGTACAGTAAGATACTGTAAAATGTGTATACAGTATTTTACTGTAAACAGCAAAGGATTATGGGAAAATATATGGTCACTACTGTATTTCTATAAAAATAGCCTATGTGTTTGAATGAATTTTCACACAGGCTGTAAAAAGACAATACGGTTAAACATCATAATTTCAACTGTAGATATCCTCCAAACAGATCTTGTGTGTCATATTGTGTCATTAGATGGTAGAATTTGACCTTCCCCTCATTTCCAAGACTGCGTTTTCTTTAAGCAGCCGCAGCTGAGTAAGCGATTGCTATTGGGACAGTCAGGGCAGATAATTGTTTAAATCGTCCCATTGAGGATGCCTGCGCTCACTTTGATCGATATCCCATTACTGGATGCTGCATATCTCCCTCCAGCAGCTTGCGGCTCCAAACTTCAACCCCCTGCCATGTCTGATCCCAAATATCGTTCGATTAAAACTTCCCTTTAAATAGATGACATTTATCGATCTGCCGACAAATATGAAACTCCATTAGCGCGTCTTGGCTGGACGGCAAAGCTGGATTTAACTAGGGTTTCTTTCCGCAACATGACATTTGAGGCGATTTGTGATTTGAAAGTGTTGAGGGATTATGGCCATTCCACGTCAGTCTTTTCTTGAAATCCACAGTAACAACCTCCCCCTATTCCTGTACAGGACATTTACAGCGCTGCTCACATTCATTAGTTTAATTGTCAGCACATTTATATAGCTGCCAGATACTTTTCTTCAGCTGATCACTGGATAAGATTTATTTTGATTGCAAGTGTCTTATGTTTATTGCATTTATTTATTTATTCATTCATTTATTTTACTAGGGCCTAATATAAACTGCATTAATAACAAAAATTGCAGCCTAACTATTATTAGGCTAATTAAGAAGAATTTAAATAATAAAAACGTGTAGAACACATCGGATTTAGGCCAATTTTACTCTAAATAGCCTAATAATTAGTACCAGCCAAAGCACCAATCAGAACGCACTGCAACGCCAAGCAATCTGCCAGAACACTCTAGCAACGCTGTCTATGCTTCTATCTACGTTTAAGGCCTGTACCCTTCCAATTTCACAACAAACAAATTCAAATTTAAACTTTAAAGCTAAGGTCAAAACGTGTTCATTAAATAAATAAATAAATATCCACTCTCGTCTGGGTTATTCTTCGGTTTTATCGCGTGAGAAATTAGATACTTGACATATCGAAATATTTATTTATTTATTTTTGACAGGTGATCAATCAACTGATGAACATCAAAGTTGCGTCAGACTCCATCCTCCTGATCCAGATGTTGACTTGGACTCATCAACCTCGCTCAGAAATGTAAGATCGGGCTTTTCTTCTTGTGAAGAACCGGAGGCAGGTGAAGAGAGAATCAGTCCAGCGCCGGATGATCTGTCGCGTCAGCGGCGGCGTCGGTCAGATCACTGCTGCGCGAAGCCGCGGCGCACCAGAACTGCGTTCACATACGAACAGCTGGTGGCTCTGGAGAACAAATTCCGCGCTATGCGTTATTTATCCGTATGCGAGCGACTAAATCTCGCACTGTCTCTGAGCCTGACCGAAACCCAAGTCAAGATTTGGTTCCAGAACCGAAGAACCAAGTGGAAAAAGCAGAACCCTGGTGCTGAGAGTTCCCTGCAACCCGGCACGAACTCTCTACCCAACATCAGCCCGACCTGTGGGTCCACATCTGCCCTCCACCCTCCATTCAGCACCGGGAACGTCATCTTTCATTCTGGCCCGGTGCACCTGGCATGTTCCGGTGGGCTTTTGCATCCGTTTTTGCCCAATGGTTTTCTCCAGCCAGCATTCTTCCCCCCACACTTATGAAGTCTGAAAGCAGGAATGATCGTAGACTACGTGTAAATGTGAATTTATAAAGTGGATTACTTGTTCGGTGATCCTCAGCAGGATGGGATTGGCCTTGGCTTGATGTAATAATTGATTAGGCCTAAAATTCATTTATATATAACTGTTTTCACTGATAGCTGTGAGCAGAAATACAGTTAAGATGGATCCAACTCTGGGCCTCAAGAATGATGAATCTGAAAGATCTTCTCACACAAATGCAACTGTAAGAATAGATGATCTGAGAATCAAATAATGGGCTGGCCCACCCTGGCAACCACTGTAAATCTTAGAGCTGGATTGTATATATTTATCTTTCTTTTGTATATACTGTTCGTGTCAACAGCATCAAATTCTTTAAGTAACTTGAAATTAAAGACATTGATGTTCTTTACAATATGTAGAAACATGCTAATGAGGTCAATAACAATAAAATAAAATTTAAGATTATTTCTTTTTTTGTATCAGACAGATATAGACAAAGGGCAACAATATATCGATCGCATTTTGTCTACACCAATACATCACAACCAGATCGGTTATCGACTTCATATGGTGACATTAAAATATTATAAAATTAGGACTTTCAAATCGATTAATTGATTAATCGCATAACATGTATATGTGTGTGTGTGTCTATGTGTATATATATATATATATATATATATATATATATATATATATGAAAGTATACTCGAATAATTCTACAAATCCTCAAGAATGATGAATCTGAAAGATCTTCTCACACAAATGCAACTGTAAGAATAGATGATCTGAGAATCAAATAATGGGCTGGCCCACCCTGGCAACCACTGTAAATCTTAGAGCTGGATTGTATATATTTATCTTTCTTTTGTATATACTGTTCGTGTCAACAGCATCAAATTCTTTAAGTAACTTGAAATTAAAGACATTGATGTTCTTTACAATATGTAGAAACATGCTAATGAGGTCAATAACAATAAAATAAAATTTAAGATTATTTCTTTTTTTGTATCAGACAGATATAGACAAAGGGCAACAATATATCGATCGCATTTTGTCTACACCAATACATCACAACCAGATCGGTTATCGACTTCATATGGTGACATTAAAATATTATAAAATTAGGACTTTCAAATCGATTAATTGATTAATCGCATAACATGTATATGTGTGTGTGTGTCTATGTGTATATATATATATATATATATATATATAATTTATATTACACATAAATATAAATATATATTTATTACATTTATTACACTACACACTTAGTTTGTGTAAACACACACTTTTTATATGCGATTAATCATTTTCTAACTATGTATATACATATACATTTTCTAACTATGCAATTTGCAGTATGCAAACAAAGCACACTGACTTTGTTCAGAATAGCATATTAATAGGCTGCTACTATTGCAGTATTTAGTTTGTATTTGTGTTTAAATTGAATAGTGTGTGTATTGTGCACAGTTTGCAGATTTTCTGTCTAGATCAATGGAGCAGCAGAAATAACAGCTTTAAAGTGTCTGAGATCAAGAGGGCCTGGGAAATATTGATCTGAATGGCCCTGCAGGCATCTAGTACATTATTACTGAAGCAGAGCTGTAACACAATATGACCACTAGAGGACACTGCGAACTAGTTTGATTTAGAATGAATTGGATTCAGGACTGTGCTGAATTCATTTTATTTGTTAGGTGTCAGAATGTCACTTTAGATTCTTTTTTTTTTCAGATCACAAAAGATCTGACACTAGCAAAAAGAATGTTTTTTCATGAAATGCATATAATGACTGGTTAGAGGTATTGTTCTAACAGATTCAAATTAAACACCCTTAATTTAGATAAATTATTTGGAGGCTAGTAATGTAAGTCTGCACCAAACTAGTCTTTGAATATTTCGTAATCCTTCACTTCAACCTTCAAATCATGTGTTTTCTCAGCAGAGATGATCAGACATTCTCTCATCGTTTGGAACTGATTCCGGCACACTACAACTTGTTTTCCAAGGTCATGGAAAAAGGTGTTTTTTGTTTTTTTTGTGACTGTGATATCATGTGGGTTGTGTGTGTGTGTGTAGGAGTGAAGTAGGAGTTGAATGACCAGCCCTTATGCCTGTGTGTTTCTCTGGCTGAGTGACATTCTGTATTGTCCTGGCTCTCGTTTCATCAGCTGTTCTCCAATCTGGAACCCTGTCGATCCTCACCACCTCCTGCGGATTTCATGTGATAGTCCATCACTTCAGTTCTTTTACATTCTTTTAGAATTACTTGGTGTGTAGCTTACACGTAACAGTGTTTGTGGACACATTATGGACAGTATTTGGTTAATTTGTTGGGACTGTTTTACTTTTGAAGTTAAGACAAAATTGTGAAGTTTTTAGGTTCTCATAAAAGTGGTGAGCTATTCAACTAAAACTTCTTCTAATGCAAATTTTAATATGTTTGAAGGTGTTCTATCGACTTTATCAGTCAGCTCCTGCTGGTAAAGGTTGTAACACCATTAAGCAGAAAAAGCTTTTTTTCTCTCTCCACTGATGGACATTTAAACTTAAAAATAAAGAACTGACTTACTAACTATATAATATTAATTAATTAATATTATATGATAGTAAAAACAAAATTGTTCAATCAATTCCTGTTTTAAGTAAATAAATAAAAATAACACACACACACACATAGTTAGTTAGCTATTTTGTTCTTTATTTTGACTATTTTGAATACCCATCAATGAAACGAATTAATCAAAATGAATTTGATAAAAACAATTTAAATGTTTTTACTATAATAAAACAATTATAGTAAAAACATAAATTATGTTTCATCAGTACCTTCTTTTGCCTGTGTGTCTGTCATTTGCAAGTCAATCTAATCAGTCACATGACTTGTCAAATCTACATTCTTTTTAGCATGATTCAGCTGAACTCCACTAAGGTGAATGAAGATCCTAATGGATTTCCCTCTGCAGGTATATTAAAGTGATAGTTCACCCAAAAATGAAAATGTTGTCATTAATTACTTATCCTCATGTTGTTCCAAACCCATAAGACCTTCGTTCATATTTGGAACACAAATTAAGATATTTTTGATGAAATTCGAGAGCTTTCTGACCCTCCATTGACAGCAACGCAACTGAAACATTCCCAGGCCCAGAAAGGTAGTAAAGTCATCGTTAAATTAGTCCATGATGTGACATAAGTGGTTCAACCTTAATTTTATGAAGCTACAAGGATACTTTTTGTGTGCAAATAAAACAAAAATAATGACTTTATTCAACAATTTCTAGAGAGTACCACAACACATGCGTGTGGTGCTGCTGATGCCGGAGCCGGCATTCTGACGTAGAACCCGGATGCACTGCGGCTTGTTTACAAGCAGGAATACACACGCATGCGTCGTTGTACTGCTGTGACAATGTGGCGGAGACTGACGCGGAAGATTTGTCATTTTTTTTGTTTTCTTTGCACACAAAAACTATTCTCGTAGCTTCATAACATTACGGTTCAACCACTGAACTGTTTTAACGATGTTCTTACTAACTTTCTGGGCCTTGAACGTTTTGCATTCAGTTGCATTGTATTGCTGTCTATGCAGGGTCAGAAAGCTCTCGGATTTCATCAAAAATATCTTAATTTGTGTTCCGAAGATGAACAAAGGTTTTACGGGTTTGGAACGACATGAGGGTAATTAATGACAGAATTGTCATTTTTGGGTGAACTAGGCTACCCCTTTAATTGAGTGCTAAAATTAAAAGTGAAAGTGCTCAACACTGTTTGAAAAGTCATTATTTTAGCGTTTCGGTTTAGTTAAGGTAGTGGTGTGGAAATTATACACTTCGCTTTTAAGAAACAGTCTATTCTTTTGCTCGATAGTGTTTGTGAGAGAGCATATAGTGAATACTGTGAGTGAGAGATGTGAGAGAGATGGCGGGGTGGGAGATTTACAGTGTGCTCTATTTTGAGGCAGCTGGGAAAACAGTGAAGTGTTTTGGTCAAGGAATAGCTTGTGCGTGTATGCCAAGGGCTTCTCTAGTCACCCTGTTCCTCTCCCATTGTTTCATGGAATGCTGGGATACATGTGGCCTAATGTGGGGCAGTGCAGTCATGCACAAAAAGCTGAAGCAATGCCTTTTGATTGTTATTTTCCTAAAATGAAAGAGTTCTGAATGTGTAGTACATTCCATTTGTAGACATCTTTAAACACTAGGAGGACCACTTCAAAAAGAGGCTTTTACACAAACATGTACAGGCTAAGATGAGACGGAGACTCTCAGGAGGAGTTTGGCGCATTTTGTTTCGTCTGAAGAGATCTTCATACATTAAATCATGCTTTTATTTTGGTCTTCTGTCCTAGGGCAATGTTTACTCTCGTGTCTGACTTGCACATCTAGTGTTCTTGTTCGTGTGAGCTCTCATTGCGAATGACTACACACTCTGCCACAGTGGGGGACAGTAAGAGGACCATTAAACACAAAATATGAAAGCCTCCCTCTATGTGTTGTTCTTCTGATTTTAGTTTTTGTCTTCCTTTTCATTCTGTTTTTACTCACCTCGACAATAACTTTTTTTTCTGTGCTTTCCATTCTGTGAATTGTTGCTTTTCAGATTGTACGATGTGACTGCAGTCAGTGGCATCTTGGGTAAAAGCCAAGACTGTGGTAACTGCCTTTTGTCAGAATGTGCAATTATTCATTTTAGTTAATACTGTTCTGACATCTTAAACGAATAGTAAAAATGACAATTTGCTGGAAATTTACTCCCCCTCAAGCCATCCAAGATGAGTTTGTTTGTTTGTTTGTCGGAACAGATTGGGTTAAATTTGATGTTGATGTCATGTGATGTGTTGTTGTTATCAGCTGTTTGGACTCTCATTCTGACGGCACCCATTCACTGCAGAGGATCCATTGGTGAGTAAGTGATATAATGCTAAATTTCTCAAAATCTGTTCAGATGAAGAAACAAACTCATTTACATCTTGGATCTCTTGGATC